CGCTGAAATCTTTTTGAATAGAATCATGTTGATTAAAAAAAAAAACCCTTGAATTAATAGAACTTAGAATAAAAGAACATCAAATTTGAGTTGACTCCAATGATCGAAAAGAAAAGTTTCTCTAACATTTCGTGTCAAATAAAAAGAGCTTAAGATTCTCACCTTTCTTTCTAATCAAATGGAAATTACAGCAAACAGGTGGAGAAATTTACATGGATTATTTGCATGAGATTTCATATGCATTGAACCTGTTTATTTGAAGATAGAGTACAATTCTTTACACTAATAAGTAACACAATTGAGTTTTCGAGTTGTTGTTGCATAGAATGTATTCAGGAAAAGCAACAGGCTTTCTCAAAATCCTCTCTTAAACTTGTTCATTTGTGTCGCCTCTAAAAGCTGAGAACTCTTTTGCATTTCTTTCACCAAGCCCGCAAATATGCCCAGACTTTGATTGTCTCCACTTTGCCGTGTGACAACTCGATTGATCTCTTATCACCATTTTTTCGGTCTGATTCGACCTTTCCTGGAACTCGGTTTTATGAAGGGCTTTTGATTAAGTAAGCCTTGATTTCTGCCACGATGCTGACACTTTTTTGTGTTCTCTGGACCCAAAAAGTACTGGTGAATTTGGGGGAAATGAGACTTTTGAAGAAATCCCTAAATTTTCACTTTAAAATACAAAATTGTTACAACATAAAGTTTCCTTTATCGGCCACAAAACAGCTCCCAATCTCACAAAACCTTCCCTTTTGCCGCCCTATCATAAGCGCAGTTGGTTCAGTGGTAGAATGCTCGCCTGCCACGCGGGCGACCCGGGTTCGATTCCCGGACTGCGCAAAGATCTTTTGCTTTTTGTTTACAAACTAAGAATAATTTTTGAAGTTAGTGCTGCAATCTTTCTCAAACAATCCCAACTCATCGAATCAGATCTAACACTGATTCTATTGCTGATTCTCACCACAATTCCAGTCTAAACAACTTCTTTTGCTTTTACTATTCGTTCAGCTTCTCAAAGCTATGATCGAGACCAAAAATTTGTTGTTGATTTTCATCTTAAAGCTTAGAGAGATTTAGACCAAAACTGACTTAGCTCCAGCAAAAAATCAACCTTTACACTACTTTTTGCCTTATCAGTTTTGACAGGTGTGCTTCCAACGCTCAAAAAAAATAACTGTCAACCAGCATTAAGATCAAATCAGGTTCAGAAAAAAAACTCACCAATCCCGTTATCAATCGGAAATTGAGTACAAAAAATGCGGCAACCCCCTCCTTTCAACGAGGGATTTTTTAAAATGAAATTTTTTCAATAAAGTCTAGGATTTGGGTCCATTCAATTTTTGGATCCAAAATAAATTTACCCTTTCATTAATTGAATCAAAAGAGCAAATGGGTAAAAAAAAGTGGGGAAGGGACGCAAAAATCTATGGGAGATAATCCTTTTTTTGAAGGTTTTCTGGAGGATGTTTGTTTCCGAGAATAGCAAAACGCACAAAAAGGATTGGATTTTTCGAAGAAATTTGTGAAAAGCTTAAATTTCAAATCTCGAAATTCACATTTTTGTGAATGTTTGTGTCTGTCGACGAGTTTTGGTAAAGGGTTTCACTTTCTGGGAGAAAGAATCCCGAGGATTCAAGTGAATTTATGATTTTCCGCAAGATCTCAAAGAAAAGGGTAGAGGTTGATAAATGAGCCAAAAAAAGCTGGCAATTTGTAGACATTCCTTGAAAACAAAAGTTGATGATCTGCCGACCATCGTTTCCGCTCAAACATTTGCGAAGTTCCTCGGGTGAGCGAGCGGAAATGGGTTGAGATTTCACAAGCATTGCTATAGGCTATAGGTTTATAGGCTCAAGCCAAAAAAAGCTGGCACATTGTAGACATCGACAACCAAGGAACCATAGCAGGAATAGAAGGCGTTGCCGGCTCAATAAAAATGAATATTTCCAATCGAATTCTTCATTCTCTTTTCTAAAATGATTTTTCCAAAACTGGTTAGGCAGAGATTAGGTAGCTTTTTGACTGCCGCAAAAGGTCAGAAGTCAGCTTTAGTTCAAACCTGATCTTTTTTTAGGCCTAGTTCGAAAGAATTAGAATCAAAATCGTTTTCGTTAGTTAGCCCAAGATCAGGATACAGTCTTAGCTTGACTTTTGCCTTGGCTTAGCTTGAGATGCTCATTATATATGCAATTTTTGTGAATGTTTGTGTCTGTCGACGAGTTTTGGCAAAGGGTTTTACTTTCTGGGAGAAAGAATCTCGAGAGTTCAAGTGGATGTATGATTTTCCGCAACATCTAAAAGAAAAGGGTAGAGGTTGAAAAATGATAAAAAAAACTGATATTTTGAATCCCATAAAAATGCATCAAATAAGAGAGCAAAAACTTTAATCGACTGATCATTTTTGACAATTTTTGCTGAATCTTTGCACCTATTTGACCGCCTTTCTCTGAGCTGAATTTAGAGAAGAATGCCCGTAGTGGGCCCACTCAAAGCCTTGACCACAAATCTCTCCACAAGACTGGCCCCATCTGGCCCTATGAAAAAATGACAGCCGATCGAAAGGCTAGTCTTTCGATCGGAGATCTTTTCTTTAATTGCATTTGTCGGCTCGTTAGAATCACCTGCGTTGGATGAGAGAAACAAACAATTCGCAGTTATTTCCTCAAAGACTTCCAAGAAAGTTCACTTGTCCATTTGACAACTTATCGATTGATAGCTTATTTTCTGAGTCCTAAGTATCGACAATTTCTCGCCTATGCCTACAGGATCTCATTCGCCGTCTCGACTTTATACTTCATTTTGGCTCCCTATATGTTGCTCTAGCTAGTCGGATGCTGGCAAAACCTACAAAACCCTGATTACCGTCCAATTGGTCGTTTGAGATTTGCGAAATTCCGACAAGAGTAATGGAATTAACAGGGAAAAAGATAAAATTAGGCCTGAGATCAAATCAGGCTTGATTACAATTCGATTTGAATCTAGAAGAGCAGATCTGGCTGAAGTAAGTAGGTAGTCGTTATGATGAAGATCAGAGACATTTGGAATTACGATATTTAGAAGTATAAAAATGGGCAAATTCTTTGCCTCTCCTAAAGAGCACAAGCAGGTAAAGGTCTCCGCTAATCAAAATTTCCGAACCTCCAGATTGATCTGAGCGATTTCTTCGTGTCCCTCTTGCCAAGCCATCCGCCGTGCTCATCGAAACGCACTCGCTCGACGGAATCGGATTTTTTACTTGATCCTCGTCAGTGATTGCCGTATCTGTCATACTGTCATGCTGTACTGTCACTTTTCGAGATCAGCATATTTATTGAGTCCAAATCTAATCAAGCAAACAAGGCAAACCAAGTCGAATTCTAGGGATCATTATGATTTCCTTAACAATGGTAAATATTGGCACTTGGTAATCCTTTCAAAACTTGAAGGTCCTTTATTCCTTAAATCCATCAGAGCTCAAGCTGCTTTTTGGTTTTTTCCGGTTATATTGGGGAACTAGGCGATGAATCAAAATCTAGAAGCGAAAATTCATCTCTTTCAAAAAGCCTACTTCATCGGTCTGCTGATCTGCGGTGTGACTTTCGTCGACTGACTTATTTCGACCCCAAGTTCGCGCATTATGAATGGCAAATCATTTCTTCTCATTCCCTTGTCTTCGTTTTTTTGACAGCCGTCGAAATGGTGCTGTTACGCGATTGGTACGTATCGAATGTCTGCACTTCAAATCAGATACTGGTCGGTCGAAAGGTTGAAGAGCTTTAGACAAATAACTTAACATAACAAATAACTAAAAATGAAGAATAAAGTCGAGACGGCGAATGAGATCCTGTAGGCATAGGCGAGAAATTGTCGATGCTTGGGACTCGGAAAATAAGCCATCAATCGATAAGTTGTCAAATGGACAAGTGAACTTTCTTGGAAGTCTTTGAGGAAATAACTGCGAATCGCTTATTTCTCTCGTCCAACGCAGGTGATTCTGATGCGCCGCCAAATGCAAATGGATAAAAATCAAAAGATTGAAAGATGTCATCAAATAAAAAACCAGCTATTGTACCTTTCAAACAGCTGCCACGATCATTCACATCCGAGTCCACCGAAAGAGCGTTACAAGTATTCGGTCTTCACATGAAGATCCTTCAGCCTCGGCGTTGACCGAGTTCCCATTGGCAGCTTGTTCGGCTCGTTGATCTGGCGATTTTTTGAAGAATTCCATGAGTTATTCGTGATTGTAATGAGCACGGTATTCCTCAAATGCATCGAGCGATCTCCTATCGAGATCCATATCTGAAAAAAATCAAAATTAGTAAGTAAACGAGGAAAATTTAATTTTTGCGCGTTTTCAAAAAATTCCCAAAAATATTATTTTCAACAAAATTTAAAAGTATGGTTAAAGAGAGCACGAACTCAGCTTTCTAATATAACAATATTTCTAATGGTATATAACATTACAAGGTACAGAGCATACTTTATTGAGGAAAATGTGCCCAAATAATAAACAATACAAAACGCTCATTTATTTCCGGACAACCTAATACATGAAAATTTTCCGCTTTAAAAGTGTTGTTTGTAATTACGCTTTAGGTGGGAGTATTATTAGAGAGGGATGGGGTACTATTAGAAGTGATTATTATTAGAGTGAGGTATTATTTTTCCCTCTCCCTTTAGGATGAGGTACGATTAGAGGAATGGGGTCCAATGAACAGCATTTACGGTATGTTTATGGCATATTTGCATTTTCGAACATTCCACATTTTTCTCATAGCCTCTACGATGTCATGCTGACATGGTAAAATTTCGGTCTATTTATTACAGGAGAGCGAGATAAAAGTTCATCTAGCGGATTGGATAGGTTTGGATCGCTTTGAAAAGATCAATCGGTTCAGTTCGCGATCAACCTTTTTCAGAAATACTCTTTATTCTGAAAAAAAAGTTCAATAGAACCTAGAAAAGTATCAAGATGTTCAACATACGCCCAGATTTGGGTATCGCAATTTCTAAAACTAATCCTTTGCGGTAAAATAGCCGCTCACCCAATCAATGATGATAAGGCCTTTGAGCAACCCGGGCACGCCAACAATCAGATCCATCTAAAAGGAAAACAATGCATTGATTATTTTCTTAAATGTTAACGAATCTCTTTATCTCTCTAAACATTCCAAAACTGTAAGAAGAACATGAGTGTGAAATATTGTTGCATTTCCCTTGTTTTCTGGCTAAGATTCGCGATTGGATAAAGTGTCCGATAGACAGTGGCTGCAAATAGGAAAAAAAAAATGCCGAGCACCTCGAGAACAATGGCTGAGACGGCCAAGATTCCATCAGCGAAGATGGCCTTGCTGAGATCGCAATAGTACATCCATGGCAGATCGACTTCGTAGGAAATGTTGAGTCTGAAATCGCTAATCTGAAGAGCAACTTGAAAAGAGAGTGCTAAAGAGAGAAAAGGTCGAGCCATTCCATTTCCATTCCATTGAGTCGGTGTTGTGTTCGACTTATATTATCTAATTCAGATTTGAAGACTATTAAACGACGAGATCACTTGCACGGTCTTCTTCAACCTTTTGACCGACCAGTATCTGATTTGAAGTGCAAACATTCGACACGTACCAATCGCGTAACAGCACCATTACGACGATTGTCAAAGACAAGGGAATGAGAAGAAATGATTTGCCATTCATAATGCGCGAACATGACGTCGCAATAAGTCAGTCGACGAAAGTCACACCGCAGATCAGCAGACCGATGAAGTAGGCTTTTTGAAAGAGATGAATTTTCGCTTCTAGATTTTGATTCATCGCCTAGTTCCCCAATATAACCGGAAAAAACCAAAAAGCAGCTTGAGCTCTGATGGATTTAAGGAATAAAGGACCTTCAAGTTTTGAAAGGATTACCAAGTGCCAATATTTACCATTGTTAAGGAAATCATAACGATCCCTAGAATTCGACTTGGTTTGCCTTGTTTGCTTGATTAGATTTGGGCTCAATAAATATGCTGATCTCGAAAAGTGACAGTACAGCATGACAGTATGACAGATACGGCAATCACTGACGAGGGTCAAGTAAAAACTCCGATTTCTTGGAGCGAGTGCGTTTCGATGAGCACGACGGATGGCTTGGCAATGTAGGGTGGTCGCAAGAAGAAATCGCTCAGATCTGAGACGTCAATCTAGAGGTTTGGAAATTTTGATTAGCGGAAACCTTTACTTGCTTGTGCTCTCTAGGAGAGGCAAAGAATTTGCCCATTTTTATACTTCTAAATATCGTAATTCTAAATGTCTGTAGTCTGATCGGAAATTTTGATTGGCAGAAACCTTGTGGCCTTTAGGAGAGACAAAGAGTTTGCCTATTTTTGTACTTCTAAATATCATCCCAAATGTCTCTGGTCTTCATCATAACGACTGTCTAGTCGTCAGTTAAGCCTCATCCTAACTTCCTCCAGTTAGATCTCCTCTTCTACATTCAGATCGAATTGCAATTGAGCCTGGTTTTATCTTTTTCTCGGTTAATGTCACTACCCTTATTATTTCATAAATGTTTATAGCCAAAAGATAGCCAATTTTCCACAGAATTTAAACCTTATTACCTTTTTTTTTAAATAGCTTCTTTAAATTTTGAGTTATCACATTTTCGGTGTGCTTTGTGGTCGCACGAGTTATTAGTATTACTAATATAAGAAAATCTGTCAAACTTAGAACTTAGATGATTCAAAAAAATTGTTTATCAGTTCCAAACTGGAAATACAACAACAATTTTCAATAAGTTTGTAATTTTTAGAAATTTTTGGGATGAAAAAGCGCAAAAATCTTTGCGATCACAGATACATTTTCGAAGAGCATAGAATAGCGATAACTCAAAATCTAAAGAAGTTAATTAAAAGCTGTAATAAGATTTAAATTCTGTGTAAGATTGGCTATCTTTTTGCTATAAAAACTTATGAAATAAAATCAACAATGAAGCTTTTAGAGAGAATTCTAAAAAGGACAGAAATTTCACCGAATCCTGTAATAGAATGCCTTAAACTGGCAACTGATTGAATCGTGATTAAATCGTGATTGAATTGAATTCTCTTTTTGCATGTTTTCTAAAAGTTCTGTTAGGTGTGGTCATGTTGGCGATAAGGAAACGAAAGTAGGAAAAGAAAGAAACAGGGAGCGGTGTGTGTTCTGTGAGAACGCCCGATTAAAGAATGCTGACTGTGCTTGGATCGAGCAAAAAGGCACTTCGATGAAGTGGGTAATTCTGATGAAAGAAATATTATATAAAATCTTTCTTCAACAGTCATTCACTGTGTCGTTTTCTTCAATTTTTGCAGTTTTTCTATCGAGAATCTATCGAATTTTGCTCATTTTCCAAGGCGACGCGCTAATTTCTTGTTTCTCATTTGATTCTTGCCGGAAAGTCGACAATTTTCAGCTACGAAATGCTCAAAGTCGCGATTTTTCTCCTCTCGATCTCGCTCCTTTTCGAACGCTCATTTGGAGCTCCACAAGTGGGTATCGCTATCGGACAAAGTTATCGGACATCTGATACTCGCCCCGTCCCTTTTCCCATTAGCAATCCAACTTGGAGCTCAAATATCTTGGTGTTGGGCTTTGCCATTTAAATATCTTTGATATCATTAGATGCGCCAAGTCTTTCTCTATTGATTGGTACAAAAACTATTTAAATTGCACAGCGCAACACCAAGATATTTGAGATAAAAGTTGGATTGCCAATGGTAAAGGGACGTGTACCAAATGTCCCATAATCGGTAAAAAAGATTGAAATTTTTGGATTTAAACCAAATGAGAGGACAAAGAAACGATTTAGTCAGGGACTTGCACTAAAGACGACGAATGTCCATACGGATCCGACTGTGTCATCGATTCGGAGAAATGTCCGAATGTGGGTGAAGGCTGCCGCGGCATTTGTCGATCCAAGGTCGGTGAAAAGATCGATTCACAGTCACTACTAACTTTTTTACTAACTACTTTCTTTCCCAGTTGAATATTGACATATTCAACTGGGAAAGTGACTAGCAAATGTCGGATTTCACTTTTAGAACTGCGTCTCGGCAGACGATTGCCCATCAGGCGAGAGGTGTGTCATCGAAAAGTGCGGATGGAGCGGCTTCTGCGCCTACCATTGCGAGCCTTTTCAGTTGAAAAAGACTCAATAACAATGAAGGGCATTTGAATTGAGTGAATAAATCTTGTTGTCGAGCTTGTGGCGAATAGCCACTAAAAAGTTACCGAACTCTGACAGTCTAAAAATTGGAAAAGTATTGCGGAAATCCGTGCGCCTTCATTCTATTTCTTTTTTTTTTTAGACTATACATTCAAGATGTTTTCTATTTTTTTTAAAAAACCCCCATGTCAAACGGACTTCTCTATACCCACTGACTCTAAATCAGCTGCGACTATGGCCACCGATTTAAAGTTGAGGTATCTACGATGATCTGAGCTACCTAAAATTAAGCTCAATGCCCACCCAGCAGAGTTCGACAAATGTGCCCAGACTTTGATTGTCTCAACTTTGCCGTGTGACAACTCGACTGATGCCTTATCACCATTTTTTCTTTCTGATTCCACCTTTCCTGGAACTCTGGTTTTATGAAGGGCTTTTGATTAAGTAAGCCTTGATTTCTGCCACGATGCTGACACTTTTTTGTGTTCTCTGGACCCAAAAAAGTACTGGTGAATTTGGGGGAAATGAGACTTTTGAAGAAATCCCTAAATTTTCACTTTAAAATACAAAATTGTTACAACATAAAGTTTCCTTCATCGGCCACAAAAAGAGCCCCCAATCTCAGAAAAGCTTCCCTTTTACAGACCGATCGCAAGCGCAGTTGGTTCAGTGGTAGAATGCTCGCCTGCCACGCGGGCGACCCGGGTTCGATTCCCGGACTGCGCAAATAATTTTTGCTTTTTGTTTAAAAACTAAGAATAATTTTTGGAGTTAGTTCTGCAATCCTTCTCAAACAATCCCAACTCATCGAATCAGATCTAGGACTGATTTTATTGCTGACTCTCACCACAATTGCAGTCTAAACAACTTCTTTTGCTTTTCCTATTCGTTCAGCTTCTCAAAGCTATCATCAAGACCAAAAATTTGTTGTTGATTTTCATCTTAAAGCTTAGAGAGATTTAGACCAAAACTGACTTAGCTCCAGCAAAAGATCAAGCCCATTATTAATCGGAAATTGTCTACAAAAAAGGAGGCAACGAGGGATTTTCTATTTTTTTAAATTTGAAATTTTTTCCGTAAAGTCTGGGATTTGGGTTTATTTAATTTTTGGACTCAGAAGGAATTTATCCTTTCATTAATTGAGTCAAAAGGGCAAATGGGGAAAAAAGTGGGGAAAGGACGCAACAATCTTTGGGAGATAATCCTTGGTTTGGTGGTTTTCTGGAGGATGTTTGTTTCCGAGAATAGCAAAACGCACAAAAAGGATCGGATTTTTTGAAGAAATTTGCGAAAAGTTCAAATCTCGAGATTCACATTTTTGTGAATGTTTGTGTCTGTCGGCAAGTTTTTGGCAAAGGGTTTCACTTTCTTGGAGGAAAAATCCCGAGAGTTCAAGTGGATGTATGCTTTTCCGCAAGATCTAAAAGAAAAGGGTAGAGGTTGGTAAATGAGCCAAAAAAAGCTGGCAATTTGTAGACATCGACAGCCAAGGATCCATAGCAGGAATAGAAGGCGTTGCCGGCTCAATAAAAATGAATATTTCCAATCGAATTCTTCATTCTCTTTTCTAAAATGATGTTTCCAAAACTAGTTAGGCAGAGATTATGTAGCTTTTTTGACTGCCGCAGAAGGTCAGAAGTCAGCTTTAGTTCAAAACTGGCCTTTTTATAGGCCTAGTTCAAAAGAATTAGAATCAAAACCGTTTTCGTTAGTTAGCCCAAGATCAGGATACAGTCTTAGCTTGACTTTTGATTGAGATTGCCTGGCTTGAGATGCCCATTATATAACCTAGTCATCTAGAGGCCATCTCTCTGTCCTTTTTTGAATCCTAGGTTTTGAAGCACTCCAGATGGATCTGGCTTTTCCTGAGCTGATCTTTGATCTGGCTTTCCTTTCTTTTGTATTAAATTATCCAAGGTTTAAGAAAGCTTTGGTTTAAGAAAAGAATAGATTAGTGAAGTACAGTAGACTAGTGAAGGCCTAGTTCAAAAGAATTAGAATCAAAATCTTTTTCGTTAGTAGCCCAAGAGTAGACTAGTGAAGTAGAGTGCTCAAAATTGATCAGTTTCTCTTAACTAAATCTCAACTAAAGCTTTTCAAAGGTGTTCTTCTTCTAAAAGTTCTTCTAAAAGCTACCCTAATTCTCAATTAATTCAATCTTTTGCATTTAAACTTTGGTGTAACGATTAGGGAAACGGAAATTCCATTGTTGTTTTTTTTGGGTAAATGAGAGAAGATCTTTTTGTCAAATCGCGAAATTTCAACGAAATTTTTTTTGTTCTCAAAAAGCGTTTTGTCATCGGTTTTCTTTTAAAAGAAATGGATATATTTCTTAAAACATAAAATGCTTTTCAAAATCATTTTATTTTATATTTTTTTTGATTATATTTTGAAACATTTTCTCTAGTTTCCTGGTACATTTATTTTACGAAATTTTAATGAATGAATGAAAATTTCAACGAAATTTTTTGGTGTTTTCAAAAAACGAATGTTTCCGAGGTGAACTTTTAGTGCGATCGACTTTGATTTCCGTTTAAAATAGTCTCTTTCGATCGTATGATGTACTTCAAGAGGCTGTAGTACTGAAAAGAGTACTGAAAAGATTGAAATCCGAAATCCTAGATAAAAAGTCTGATATCCGGAGTTTTGGATGGGCTAGCGATAGCTCGAATAACTCGAATCGATTCGCCGAACCCGAAAAACCGTGAACAAATTTAAGATCTTCTTTTTGGTGCCTACAAAGCAAAAGAAAAATCGCTGTGTGAAGTGTTGAAGGATATCGAAGTGTTCTTTCAATCAATCGCTCTTCAGCAGGAGCGGTTAGCGACTGAACTCGTTTCACCATTCCCCGCGTCATTATGCAATTCCTGGGAAAGATCCCTTTGCTCAAATTTTCTCTGTATATTTCTAAAAATGAGTGAAGATCAGCCAGGAAAAACTGTGAATGATGTGCGGGGGAAATTGAGTGAGTTGTGGAGCCGAAAATTGGATTCCAAATCGGAATCAACGAGCAAAAAGGAAAATACGCATTTCATTGACATTTCATTGATAAACGGCTAATAAACTTCCAATGAAAAGCTCGATTTGTGCACTCTCTTGTGGTTCTCGTTTTGGACACGTGCAGAATGGTATCAACAATGGATTCTCGGTAATTGTGTTTCTGTTGAAAGCTGTCATATCTAAAAAGTATCAACGCATTAAATCTATATCAGAAGCTAGATGCTAATCAATTGCATAGAGTTTGATCTTTTCAATGTACTATCGTAATCCTAGAATTCTCTAGTAAACATAAAAAGATGTTATCGTATTTTCTCTAATAGTAGTGCACCCCGGCGAGCCGAGTTGATGCCTATTTTACGGTTTCCAAGCTTTTGCAGAAGCTCAACACCCAAATCCCCCACTAAATCTCATCGTCAGCTACATTTCCCGACCCCACATCGATAAGTTCTGATAAGCGGTTCTCGAGATTTCAAGGAATCTAGGCGACGCTCATGGTGCACTACTATTAGAGAGAAAACGGTATATTATTCCAGGTTAGGCTATCAGACTGATCTATTTCCCAAATATTTCCCGGTGAGCCGAGTTGATGACGATTTTACAGTTTCCAAGTTTTCCCAGGAGCTCAACACTGAAATCCCCCACTAGATCTCATCGTCAGCTACATTTTCCGACCCCACATCGATAAGTTCTGATAAGCGGTTCTCGAGATTTCGAGCAATTTAGGCGCATGGTGCACCTACTATTAGAGAAAATACGGTATACAGAAAAATTAAAAATCGATTTTCATCTAGCCAGATTCGTATCCAGCAAACTTAAAATAAAGATTTTCATCTCAATTTCCTCTTTTCTTTAGTCTATTTTTGTGAAAACAATGAGTAAATGTTTATTTAAAAGAGATTAGGCAATAATTCAATACATCGAATTTCATCAAATTTCTCATGTTTAATTTGAAATCCTAAAATAAATCATTAAAATATAAAATATCTCAATTTTTCTCAGAGTTTTGATGATTTTTGGTGATTTTTGTTTCACGAGTTCAGGATTTGTGATCATTTTTGGAAAAAGTACAAAGAATATTGGCAAAGAAAAAAGTGCTCATCAAGTTCATCTAGAAAAAAAGTATGGAGTTTTCGTGAAAATTGGAAATTGGAGAAATTTTTCTCACTAAGAGCCTTTTGGCAAAGTGAGTTTTTAATGAAAAACAACACGGCTAAATCCGTTTTTTTTTTTCATTTTTTTTTCAAACACTCATCACTTAGAGCATCGATCTTAGGCAACTTTTGGTCTTTTGCCAAAAACAACACAAAGAAATGGAAAATGATTTTGCGTTTTTGGTCTAGATGTTATTGTAATGATTTCGAGAATAGAATAGATTCTGATGAAAGATGACTTATGAAAGATGACTTATGAAAGATTACTAATGAATAGATTTCTTATGAATAGATTCTTTAAAAGATGAACTTTATGCTTTACCGGGAAATTTATCCTTTTAATGCATTTGTTTCATTTTTCTAATGATCATAAGTCATTGTCGCTAGAGAAATGTTGTTGATTTGATCTGTCTTCGCACTTAGCGCAGATCACAACCTGCTTCCGCATTTACTGAGGCAGAAGTGTAGTTGTCGTAGCCGATGATACTCCGATGGCCGGGCTGGGGCGCTCGGAGGGGAACCCATGGGAGTCGAACCCACGACTAACCCGCGCCGACGTTGCTCAACTTGGCAGATCGGACGGGGTCGACCACAGACCCTTCCCTTTCTGGGCCCGCTAGAGAAATGGAGAAATGGAAATGAATTCAGTGTACAAGAAGGAATTTGTTTACTTTTTAGAGCACAAAGAACACTTTAAACGCTTTGTAACAAAACATTTACAAGTAAACTTTAAAGCCAAAACGTCCCTTTACGGTTAACGGCGGGAGTAGCGATCATCGGCGGCGGTCGAATTTTTGACCAACTTATAACCCGATTTTATATAAGTATATGTTAATAA